TTATTCATTATTTTGTGTTGGTTAGAGATAAGATACGTGTCCGTGAGTTTGTGGCCTATCCATTTCTCAGTGTTCAATATGGGTGCGGTAATAAGCATTGTCGGGTATATTTCTGTTTATTTGATGAGTTATTACTGCTTATAAGGGCATAATTTCCACTGAGAATTTCATTCGAACTTTTAGCTTCCATTTTATTTTTTTAATCCGGGAGGTCGAGATGTGCTATTGGGGCCCTATACACAAACACCTCAGGTAGAGTGAGGGCATACAACCACCTTTCTCCATTGCTTCACTCAAGCAGTGGGGTTAGGTCTCGCCATTCTTCTTCAACTTTGCTATCGATGACGTTCTGGGAACAGCTCTGATGGATGTAAGTGATGGTGGTGTGGACCTGTTACCTGGAGAAAGACTTCTCGACCTTGAGTATGCGGATGGTATTGTCTTACTGTGCGATAATGCCCAAGCCATGCAATCCACACTTAATAAGTTGACGACCAATGTCCGTAGGTATGGCGTGTGTTTTGCATCTTCTAAGTGCAAATTAACTCCATAAAACTGGCGGGACCCTGATCCTGCACTCACCCTGGGTGGTGAGTAGATGAAAGTAGTCGGGAAGTTCGTGTATCCGGGTAGCTGTGTAAGTGATGAGATCAATTCACGTATATTGAAAGCCAGAGAGACTTACATCAATCTAGGCCAATTTTGGCGCCCTCGTGATGTTAGTCTGGCTGTAAAAGGTCGGATCTACAAAGCGTTGGTGAGAGCAGTTTTGCTCTATGCTTGTGAAACCTGGCCTCTCCGAAGTGAGGATGTTAGACGAATCTCTGTGTTTGATCATCGTTGTCTCCGGAGGGTTGCTAACATTCAGTGACAACATCATGTTAGTAATGCAGAGGTTCGGCATCGTATGTTCGAGCACAGAGATGATAATCCAATTGGTGTCACCATCTTGAAACACCGACTTCGGTGGCTTGGACATGTTCTACGAATGTCGTCCCAGAGAATTCCACGTCGTGCATTATTTGCCGACGCTGGGACCGGTTGGATGAAGCGAAGAGGTGGTCAGTGTATGACATGGTGTCGTGGCATGAAAGAAAGCTGCAAAGGGCTGGCTTCTGTTGGCCCTTGACGACTCCCTGGCTGGGGTCCAAGAGATGGTGCGACACAGTGGCTATAGACGTTATCAGATATGGCTCAGAATAGAAGCCAGTGGCGATCCTGCTGTAACGTTCTCTTACTTTTTCATAAAAAGTGGTTGTAACTTCCTTAACTGAAAGAATTTTTCCTGGTTGTACCTTTCCGTTTCCCCCATTATTACTATTATTATTATTACACTACCATACACTAATCTGTGGTCGTCATTATTCTCTTTTTTCCCTTCCTTCTCTCTTATACGCACCTTACATTCTTTTTCTCTTCCCATTCTCATTGTTATTGTGTGGCGCATATATATCTGGTGTCCCCTTGTACCAATATTTATGTGTTCAAATAAATAAATATATATATTCATCGGTGACAGTATAGCTTTAAATGACTGAAATGAAATTCCCACTGAATATCATCTCCTTATATGCAACACTCACCTACCAAATGAACGAAAAAATTCTAGACATAGTACTTTTATAGAACATTGAAAAAGGGACGATTAATCCACAAACAAATAATTATAACTAACCTTCCTAATGCTAACTAATATAAAGATTGGTATAAGTGTATGAACTGTTAATCTCTGAATAAATATTGAAAAGCGAAATTCTCCTATGTTAGGGGTAAACAACACAATCAAATCGAACTTTGGATAACATAGTTCACAATCTGTCTGTGGCTTAGACGCCAATCCATTCCTACTCATCATTATCGTGTATCTGTAAAAATCCTAAACGCTGTACTGATGGATACTTTTTACCCCTTATTTCCATCTTTTTTCTTTCGCTATTTCATAATCACCTCTTTACTAATGTCGTCGACGATGTAATCAAGTTATCCCATCTCATTATTTTCCACCTATCCATCTGATCTCCCTATGCTGGATCACTGATCCACAAATAATTCAGGCTTCTAACCCTTTTTACTGTTAATTATATATATAGTATTATTTGATACTCATTTTCGAAAGAAATATCGGTCTTATGCAAGCCAAGGGATGAAATGGCGAACATCATCTATAAAATAAACTGGTCCAACTACGAAAAACACTACATTGTATGGTGTCACCTTCTTCTTTGTGTGCATAAACACCACTTGATAGCTGTCAAACCCCATCGCATATCCTCACTTATATCAATGCACGTGGAGAATTGTGAATACACACTCGACTGGGAATATTTTGAGATGTTATACAAAGGAAGTACGAAGAAGACTAGAGGATTTCTAGAAGTTTAGCACTCAATTCAATCAGTAATCAACATGCACATCGGAATTGACTCAATTTGCCAACCGGTTAAAAAAGTTATGGATAAGTCTAAAGTTAAAACTCAAGAGAATGGTAGTGGCAGTTAGGAAGAATATGTAGATAACGACAGGTTAATTGTCAACAATAACCAATTAGGATTGGGGTCAACGGAATAAGCCGTCAGTCGTATGTGAGAAATTCGAATAATCCACTTCTACGTGAAGTTTTTGTTGGTAATGTTATCCAGTAAGACAATGAAAGCTTCATGATTAAACTTTCGAATTCTCAGAGAATGGAAACTCACCCAAGTCATCCTCTGAGCTACAAATTTCCCCCATTAACTTAAGGACCTTCATATTTGATCAGTGGTCTAATTGATAGGATGCAACAATTAATCCGTTTGAATTTGTTAAGTTCAGTTTTGCTTAAAACTTGTAATATTATTTAGTTCTGTTTAAAACTAAAGGGGAAATTTTACATACTTTTATTTTTTTTAAAAGACATTGATCAGTGAAGATTATTAGAGAATCTAAATAATGTATAGGAAGGCAATATCGAATCAAGACATTACAATAAAATATCATTTTATCAAAGGCAGATTCTATCGTTTAGGATAGTAGCAAAAAGAGTAGTATTTGAAAGAAGTAATGTATACACTAGTTAGGATATAATTAGGAGTTAAAAGTTTTTAGTGAGTGTTAGTTAAGCTCAGTTGATTAAATTAAAATTATATAATGAAATAGGAAACAGTTTAAAAAAGATAAGGCTATTAACTAATGTCTTTTTTGAAAGATTCTTTGAATATAAATGTATGATTCTTGGTTGTGTTGAATTTGTCAAATGTATCCTTTTTACTTTTTCAATCTGCAGTCTCTATGGATCGTTTAGAATTGACTTTATTTCACCTTGTATATACACGCTTGATTTGTGCTTGTTGTTGTTGCTCGTGCTCTGGCTGCTTGTGGAATATATTTCCCTTTTCCGAACTTGGACTCCTCTCTCTAGTTAGCGGAGCTAGAACGCGTCGGAATAGCTAGCTTATTTGTCATTGTATCAGAGTCTTCGTTCCGTTCTCAGATTTGGTAAACTCGTTATCTCTCCAAACATAGCACCTGTCATCTGCTTGATTGTGGATAGAACGTTGATAGTTCAAAGATCCTTCATAGGATTCAATAATCCAATAACTTTGGATTTATTGCGTTCTATTGAAGCCATGGTTATCGAAAAAATTAAACCAGGTGAATACAGTAGAAGCTAGAGTGGAGAAATCACCAGGTGTCCACGCTGATTCATCTAACTAACCTAATAATTTACTGTTAGTCTAGTTCGTTTGAATGGAACCAAGCTCGTGGAAGGCAACAATTAATATCCGCCAATACTTAGGCGGCACTTTTCGGAAGTCGGTTTAACACTTTTTAATATTCAATCACTAACACCTTCCAACGAATTTCTCGCTTGTGTGAGACGAGCATTAAACTTTGGGAACTCAATGAGTACCTTAAACGCAATCAGATCCCCACATGACTTTGAACTATAAAAAATTTCCATATTGTGAATTATAACATATTTTTCTAACTCTATGTGGGAATTCCTAATAACTCTTAGTATGCTTCGAACTTGTGCATTTTGCGGTCCCGATTTGGTATATCTTTTATCTTCGATTCAATCATTTGTTCGCTGTTTTTTTTCAATCTTCATCGACTGAGATGGTTGGGCCACTTGTTACGTACATCGATTACCACGACGCGCAATGCTGACTAGTGTTGGGGATGGTTGGAAGAAAGTTAGGGGTGGCCAAACCAAAACATGGCATCAGTCCTTGAAGTCACCAACTTCTGGTCTGAGCCTTGTTGGTAGATGCAGGCTACTTGGTTGGCGTCCGCGTGACTATCGTAACCAATGGTTGGAGACTCTTAGTGACATGGCTCAGAATCGACCACAATGGCGTAGGTGTATACATTTTCTGTCTTCCCTTAAACCGTGATATTAAAATTACCTTTCTTTTTACGGACTAATTCTTTCTTCCTTTACTATATCCTTATATGTAATCTTTTTTATATATTACCACCATTGAATTAACCACTTCTATGAATCCGGTGTTCATCTTGTTGTGCTAATGCGGTGTGGCAACTTGGACCGATGCATATATGTGCCTGGTCCTACGTTTTAACTGACTGACTGACGTTTTTTTCGAAAAGTGCAATAACGCCACGTGATGTACTATTAGTCTACAGTATCTAATCAATGGATTTGTTTTTATGAAATAACCACTTTATTAAATTAGATTAGTTCAAAAGAACACTACTTGCTTAGAATTTGTGCACCCCTAGTGTAATTGTTTATGTAACAGCTACATTTTTTTAAAATCTTATTTGGACTTGTGTTGCTTATTTTTCGTTTTTAAGGTAAGGAAGTTTTGGAGTTTAGATCGAGATTATACATGTGAGTTGGACGATTTTATGGAACAAATAGACACAATTCGAACGGAGCCAAATGTCTCCATTATGAATACTATTCCAGCAGTTAGTCAAGAGTGATTAACAAAATTAAATTGTGATAACTTTTATGTACATTATATAATATGGGTATATGTTACTTGACAACATTTCTATGCTTTGTCAATCAAATAAACTTTGTCTACATTGGTCTCCTCGTTTTGTGTTTGAGTAAACTTTTCGTTTCTAGATACTAACCTTAAGATCTTTTCTTTTGATTTATCAGGTAGTTGACCGATGTAGTCAACACCGTCAATGTATAATTTTGGTAAGTGATCTTCTAGCAGGAGGCAAACTAATTCCTTGTCTTCAATCTGTGGGTTTCCACTCACTATTAGGCGGCGTAAAGCTCTGGAAAAAAATATAGACAAACAGTTTATTGACGAGAAAACTTAATCAATGTTATTAATGTAAACAATAACTTCTAGTTCTTTTTAAGCAAATTGCCAAAATTTCACTGGACCACTTACTTTAAGTGTGCCAATGTCGCTAGGCCTTTTGAAGTAATAGTAGGGCACTCACTGACATCGAGAAATTGTAATCCTTTGATACGTCCAATTCTCGACAAGCAAAAATCATCAAGATGTATACATCTTTTCATTTTTAAGTACCTTAGATGAGTTAAACAGGCTATAAAGTAAATAAGTTATATTTTGTATATATTAATGCACCAAATTAAAGTCAATACAATACAATCTGGGTCGCTAAAACTGATTTTTAAGCATACAAACTAGAATCTATGTGAGCACTTGTCAAAATTTGAACGAACAGCTTAAAAACCTACAACCCAGAGTTTTCAACCATGGATTATAGCTATTTCGAAGACCTGAGAAAGGAAGTTTGCAGAACACCAAAATTAGTTTGGATTAACTGCTTGTCTTGACCAAGCCAAACTTAGTTATTTTTCCATCTACCCCTGTGGTAATATGGACAATGTTTGGGCGTAGATCGTTTCTGAAATTACACAAAGTTTTCAGTTGCTTTGGTCATAGTTCGTAGAACTCAGTAGGACGAGACTTTATCAGTGTTACTTAAACTTTCAAAATACGTAGAATGGTTAACACAACTATTTTCATCTCTATCGATAATTGGACTAAGCAATGGCACGTCGGTCAAAATACATTTTATGGTCATGTCGTGCGGAAGTCGCGTGAAAAACTAGCGTGTTTTTATGTGCTGAGAACCACTACATGGATATCCCATCTCCATCAGAAATATGTAGGTGAAAGACCAATCCCTGAGAAGTGAAACGGTGTCAAATACTGTTACAACGTATCCCGATCGATAGACTTCCTTCAGACTACGGAGGACAACTACATTAAAAGTTCCGACTAAGGTATCCACAGCGGAGTCTAGGAGCAGCTTGGTTTCCTGGGACTCGAACTCAAACTGACTCGTGACGGGAGGCAAGGGTCCTAAGCTCCATATTAGTCACTCAGTAATCCTGGAAAGCTTACCTATCAAACTGAATAATCATTCCCTAATGCTCTCGCCAGCCTTAACTGAATTACAGCTTTTCTAATTTTGCTAGGAGTTGCACGTAAGGTCCATCGACGGCTATAAGAAAACTGAAGATAACGAGAGTTGCCTGCACAAATTCCTTGCTTACTGCCTCAGTGAAATGGACTGAACCAACCAGTATTTTGTTTTATATACCAAACTATTAAATCCGGTCTTCTTGAGTCTACTGTTATTCATCGTTGCTATCTACACATTTTTCGCTTATTTCGTTCAGTCAGTCAGTTAAAACGTAGGACCAGGCACATATATGCATCGGTCCAAGTTGCCACACCGCATTAGCACAACAAGATGAACACCGGATTCATAGAAGTGGTTAATTCAATGGTGGTAATATATAAAAAAGATTACATATAAGGATATAGTAAAGGAAGAAAGAATTAGTCCGTAAAAAGAAAGGTAATTTTAATATCACGGTTTAAGGGAAGACAGAAAGTGTATACACCTACGCCATTGTGGTCGATTCTGAGCCATGTCACTAAGAGTCTCCAACCATTGGTTACGATAGTCACGCGGACGCCAACCAAGTAGCCTGCATCTACCAACAAGGCTCAGACCAGAAGTTGGTGACTTCAAGGACTGATGCCATGTTTTGGTTTGGCCACCCCTAACTTTCTTCCAACCATCCCCAACACTAGTCAGCATTGCGCGTCGTGGTAATCGATGTACGTAACAAGTGGCCCAACCATCTCAGTCGATGAAGATTTACAACCTCACCAACTGATTTACCATCGTTCCCTAATACTCTGCGTCTAACCTTACTATTACTTACCCGATGATCCCAGCAGATGCGAGCAATATTTCCAAGACATCTGCGGTCAAATATTAGTAGCTTACGAGTATCTACTACTCTTAATGGCCATGTTTCTCAGTCATAAAGGAAGATAGAACGAACTGCAGCGCAGTGCACTCGTCCCTTAATTGATAGACGGATATCTCGCCTGCGCCATAGGTGACGTAAGTTGAGAAAAGACAAACGAGCTTTTTGAATCCGTGCTGAGATTTCGTCAGACACCAACCCATTGGGGCTAGTCAGACTTCCAAGATAAGTGAAGTTGTCAACGCGTTCGATTACCTCACTCCGTATGCTTGGTTCAGGTGTTGACGCAGACCAATTCTGTAGCAACAACTTGCATTTGGAGGGGATAAACGCATGTCAAACATCCTGGCATTGTTGCTCCGTGCTATCAAAAGACTGCATTTTATCAGCGTCTTCACCAAACAGGACTATGTCATCTGCGTATTCTAAGTTGATAAGTGGACCGCCTGGAAGGAGCTCAATACCCAAGAATTCAGTCGACGAGAACGTTATTTCCATCAGTAGGTCTATGAGGAAGTTAAGGAAAAATGGAGAAAATGGACAGCCTTGACGGACACCACTTGAGGTTGCAAAAACAGATGACAGTTCGCCATAAGCTCTCACTCGACTAGTAGTGTTCGAGTAAAGAGCCTTCACAAGGTTTATGTACTTCTGAGGTACGCCTTTCAATGACAGACACTGCCACAGAACCTCTCGGTCTACAGAGTCAAATGTTGTTTTTAGGTCAAGAAAGACCACCATTGTCGCTAAAATTGGACCACCATACTTAAAGACCTCTGGAGCCAATCCATCTGGACAAGCTGCTCATTCTCGTTTCAGATTAGCTATAGCCTTATGAACTTCAGCTAGAGTCAGGGGATCTACCTCGATGTTCCATCCACACTGTCTGGGGATGGTGGGTAGTTGTAGATTAGTTGAAGGCCAGCTGAACTGCTCCTTAAAGTGTTCCGCCCATCGTTCTGAACGTCTGAACTGGGAGCAGATAAGAGTTTCGTCTTTTTCCGAAATAGTCTCAATTCCACTTGACTTTTTAGTTTCAGTCTCTTTTATGAGTCTGAAGAGCTGTCTGGTGTTACCTACAGCGGCCGCCTTTTCCATCTCTTTTGCTTTCGATACCCATCACTTCTCACGGTCGTTCCTTAGACTTTTGGTTAACCTAGATCTGATTCGCTTTCGCTCATCATCGTGTTCAGAGCCTGATGGGATAAGTTTGCGAGAATCCATCAGTGCAATAGACCTAGAGGAATCCATTGGTTTTTTGCAACCGTTTGGTTTAAATCACTAATAGATGTCACTGCTGTTTCCACAGCTGTTTGTATATCTTTCCAAGCAACATCTGGGTCAGCCTCGTTTCCAGAACTACTTAAGTGTGACCTCAGTTGTTCCTGGAATCTATTTTCGGCTTTCTTATCACTTAATTCAATTCTAATGGGTCTTCTCAGTGTGGCTTTCCTGCGTCCAGTGAGGCGCAAGCAGATGCGTGTCCGTATAAGAGCATGACCGAAGTCCAAACAGATATTCCAGAATGAGCGACAATATTTCATCGACCCTCTCCAACGATGACTGATGGTAATATGATCTATTTGAGTCCATCGTTGGTTTGGTGCAGGGGGTCGCCGTGTTATACGATGTCTCTCCTTATGCTTAAAATTAGTGTTTGCTAAAAATAAACGATTGTCCGAGCACAGTTGCAGCAGACGATCAACATTATCTGTTCGCTAAGTCGGAACAACAAATTACCCACCTAAATGTCTTTCTGTTTGGTTGAAGTTACCTACATGGGCATTAAAGTCACCTACTGCAAGTACTATGTCTGGGCGTTTAGCTTTCTGAAGTTCAGAAAGCTTTCTGTAAAAGTCATCTTTAACTTCATCCGAGCCGCAGTCAGTGGGAGCATAGGCAGAAACGACGGAAAGGCAACGGCGTGTGTCCCTGTCCTTTCACGTTCTTACGGAGCCGTTAAGCCAAACAGCACATAAACGACTGTTAACGGGGATCCACTCGAATAGTGCTTATTCTGCCCTTGTAATTAATGCTATGCCTATACCTGCCAGTCCACGAGAAATAACCATTGAGTCGCCAGATACACGGAGGGTGTATCTTGTCGGCTCTCCGTTTTGTCGAGGTGAGGTCAAGTGAATGACCACACTAGGATCCTGTATGCGTGTTTCGGAGACACAGCATACATCGATGGTACAAGATTCTAGGGTTTTATCCAATGAAGCCCGTTGACCGATTTGACATAGGGTGCGTACGTTGAAGGCTCCAATGTGTAGTTTGGAGCGAGGTTTCAGTAGACCTAGAACAGTGTTTCGCGCACTAGAATCGTTGGCTATGGTGACACTTAAGGGGGAAGCCGAAAAAGGAAGTTTAGAGGTGAAAGTCGATGTAGGAGGAATAATAGGAAGTGAAGACGGAGGTTGATTATGAATATAATGGTCTTGAGTGCTGTTAGAGATGTGAGGGTGGTTATCACTTCCCGGTTGCCCACACCGTGGAAGGGGTGTTCTGGAGGTACCTGGAAAGGGAATCGGATTAGAAATGGTCTTGGTGACCTGAGAGCGTGACCGCAGTGCCCAGGGAACAACTGCTTGAAATCAGCCACACACGACCTTTTTGTAATTTTCGTGTTGGCTACGTACTTGTTGAGACCTTACCGCCGGAGACGGATATCCTTGGGACAAGGCGAGGTGTGTATTTTTAGGGTCAACGTTTTCTAACCCCATCCCTCTTTGTGAGAAGGCAGCATCGCTGTCATGCTGGTTGTTTGAAGGAAACACCTTACTGCCGTCACATCTCTGTACAGTCAGCAGTACAACATCGCTTTCTGACCTTGGGTTTGTTGCTTTTAGTCTTACCGTTCTTCAACCGACCTGTCTGGCATGGTAGGACCTTGAGGAACGATTGTTCCAGCCAGTATAGCTCGACTGTTTCATCAAGATAGGCAAGCCCGACCACCATGTCAAGGCAGCAACAACGTTCAACACATCTAACGATCACTATGTAGACTAATTTTGTAATTGTTTAGGTTGTTCCAAACTTTTACCATATATAAAGCCTGTCATGATCAGCTTTCAAACATCCGTTAGTTTAGAAGATGATTCTTTCTTAAGTTTATCCTGAAGATTATTGACAAACTTTGCTTCAGTCCTTATAACAGACTTGAGGTCATATCAGGTTATCTCGGAGAAAATATCCCCTTTTGTGTTCGAAGGAGTCTCCCTTTTTCCTTGTATGGCATAATACTAACGGGAACGCAGTCATAACTAACGTGACACCTGGCACAGAAGTGCATCAACCTTATTGGACACTAACTCAGCAAACGATAAATAGCAAGGGTCAGGATAACAGTAATACCGATCATAATAAAACTAAACATAGAGAATATGAACTGAGAATGAATGGAATAAGGGAATAACAGGTATAAAATAATAGTGAGATCAAAGATTTGAGATAGATACATGGAGAAGAGTAGTCGAACAATGCAATTAAGGGTTATGAAACATGTGCATAGATGGCTTCAAAATTAGTTAATGTCAAATGCTCCGATAAACGTGGAAAGTAGAAAATCATGTCCATCGTTAGCAAGGCACATAATTGGAACGACGCACAGAACTGACATCAATACAGCTTTTAGAAAGCTGTATAGAGATTGTCAAGGATGAATCTTCAGGTTTATAGAAGCCTTAAGCCTTGGCTATTTGTAAATTCAACCCCTCTTACGTGTACAGAAATAGTTTGTCGTAGCCTTGAATTTGCCCTGGGAATCCTTAAGTCATTTTACGGCTTAGGGCAGTGCGCGAATTCCTTATTCTGTCCATACGACACTGATTTTCACCTCATCTTACAATTATCACTTTGTTTACTTGGACCTTCATTTAATTGACCTTCACTAATTTTCGCATAATGCCTTGACTATTAAATGCATGCCCAGATTGTCCCGAATGTGTGGCGCAAATACATCATACTTTTCAGGTAAACTCTATCTTCCCATTGTTCTGTTGAAATTTATGAAACATGCCGGTTACTTCAAATAAACGTAAAGGTAATCAAATCAAAAGCATTTACTTACGTAAAAACTCTAGTCCTTCATATACAATATTGGTACCTGACAGGTCAATGCTTTCGATCACGAAACCCTCAACGTATTTATTTGGTAGTATAGGAGGGACCCCAGCATATGGTTGAATCCAGCTAGTGTGACCGATGAGCTGAACGCGACCGCCCAGACTGCACACCATATGAGCTATGGCAATATCTAGTCCTAGTTTATCAACGTCTTTGTCAGAAACTCTGTAAATAATAAACGGAGGCATTACATTTGTCTTCGTCGGTTTCGTTCCTTCATTCGTGATAGCAACAATGATCTGAGGCTATCCACTGTCAGAGTTTCTGTACTCCATGCCTTCTGAAGAAGTTCACGAAATTTAACAGCAGGACGAGACGATTTTGTCACCAAACCAGTATATATTTTAACAGATTTCCCGTCACGTACAACATATTTATACTAAGTTAATGAAGCCTAATTATTACAACTGACGTACCATAGGTTTGGAGTAGATTGACCGCGTAAATCCACCTTGCTCATCAGTCGGCTCACTGGAAGCATAACGGATCAGTAAATTGGGATGGGAGACAAGCGAGTTTGATAGACGACCAACTGTAACACGCAGAGACATACCACAACCCCTCTCACAACGGAGATTGATAAAAAGTAAACCTACAGTCAAACCGACCTCCTTTACTTTCTGGAGCAGCCTAATTAAGGTTGAGCATTCCGTGCTTGAAGTGCTTGAGGTTAGTCATGTCCATGTTGGCTTGTATGAATTCGTGCGTTCCGCATAATGAAGTAGTCTAGAATCATAGAAAGTATCTTTTCTAGTGTAAACTTCGAATTTCTTATTGAATAATTGTCGATTGAACATCTGACGTTACATCTGTTATTTTGAAGATTGTATTAAATTAGGACAGCGTAATATCAGCAAATGTAATGACATCTGACTCTAATGGCTGTTGATTTGCTCCCACAGATACAGGAAATGATGCACAGCCCTATTGTTGAACCGTCCAGTTTAAGGAAGATTTCGACTGACATTAATGAACATTTTAGACGACTAGTCCTGAACTAACTTTTCTTGCGCTGTGAAGATTTCCAGAAGTCGTTTAATGAGTGAAGATAACCATAGTTTGATAGACAGATATCCCAAATGTCTACGAAATTGCGTGGACGGGAAGCGAAAGTCCAGCACTTTAACTGGGTTGGTGGTAGGTACGGAGTATCCACGTAGAAGAGTCGAGCAACACTGGCCCCGCACTCATGTTGCACATGGGGGCAGGATCGTGAGGGAATAAATGGCACATGAACCTGTTGTTGGTCTCCGTCTACCATGGGGCTACATCTCATAAAGTTGCTCCTGTAGCGGTAAATAAATCCCCAAAATAAATAACTCTGTAAATCTCCGACATTGGATGCTCACCTAGCTGAAGGCGCTCGGTTATGCATCCGCACCAGATCACGTGTGGGAACGTCGTGTTCAACAACCCTTGTAATCACTAGCCAGATTAGATCAGACGATCCTCAATATATTGATAGCCTATCAAATATATCTTCGAACCTCCTCGCTTCTGTCCTTTGATTTCACTTGGTAGGTACGATTCATATCAGAGGGTGTCGCTGGTTAAAGCATTGTCAAACTCCGAATACCTGTGGCGTCTTCGCTGGTGAGCCTAACGTCATCTGGTACACCAAATAGTAAACTGTGAGTCTCTTCCTTTTTGGGATACTATATAGCATTGCCATATCTCAATTTTTTATACATTGTGATTTTTTTCGTTTTTTTGGATATATATTTTTTCCCTCGTTAATTCTCGTACTTCACATTTCATCGTGGCTGAACAGACACCCAAAGTACTTAAGCTTAAGACTATATTCCCGCCTTCGTTCCAACTAATGCCCTTCTGGCCAGACAACATCGGAGCCGACTTCTGCGAGCACGGCGTGAACGACATACATGCACGATTCCTCCCAGTAGTCAAGGCACTACCGCTCGAATTCAACAGGTACGTAACACCTAGTATGTTTACTAGTGATGCTTCGGAACCCTACGAAACACTTAAATGATCTATTCTTAAATGCGAAGACCCAACCGATAGACAAAGGTTAGACCAAATCCTTGATAACACCGACCTGCAACAAGGTTCTGCGACAGACATGTTGCAACCGACGAGAGAGTTTATAGACCAAAAAACCTTCGATAATGGCCTATTCAAACAACTTTTCTGATCCAAACTTCCTCAACAGGTGCGAGCTGTACTTGTCTCGTTTCACAACAACGCCTTAGACGAGCTGGCTGCATCTGCCGACCGCATCCTAGAAATCACGAAATCTTCTGATGCCGAGGTTTTTTCAGTCAAAGAAAAGCTTCAAACGACCCAGAATGACACAACGGAGTTATGTCATACCCTTGCACGTTATCTTAAATTTCGTAACGATCGTAAACGGCCACACACCCCGCGAAGAAGCACTTCACGTAGGCGATCTGTCGCTAGACCACGGGAGACAGATAACCCCGACTGGTGCTGGTATCATAACCAGTATAGAAAACCCTCCATAAATTGCGGACAACCCCGCAATTTTCCAAACTCAAAATCGAACGACACGAAAAACGATTCGAGAAACTTCCAAGCCGGCACGTGTTAACGGCAACCGTAGCCGGCGAACATAGCCGTCTATTGTACGTCACAGACGTGACAACGAGAGTTCACTACCTCGTCGATACTGGCGCAGAAGCTAGCGTTCCCACAGCGAATTCTAACGATCGGCTTCACGAATCAGTTTTAAACTTCCAGGAGGCAAACGGAAAGCCTATCGCTACGTATGGCCAAAGGTACGTTTACCTTAACATGGGTTTACGCAAACTAATTCACTGGATTTTCGTTGTTGCAGGTGTTTCTATGCTAATCATTGATATAGACCTTCTACAACACCATAATCTACTCATCGATACGCGCAAACGGAGGCTAGTAGACAGAAACACTAATTTGTCGATTCGCGTAAATTCCTTTTGTGGTTGCAGATTATCTCCAGTCACAATTAAGCATACGATAGACCCATTCTATCAACCACTACTCAATAAGTATTCTAGGATATACCAAACGTAACAGAAATTACCGTGTGTAACTAGCAACGTTACACACCATATAATGACTACAGGACCATCCGTATTCTCTAAAGCCCGCCGACTAGCCCCCAAAAAACTAAGGTTGGTGAAAAACGAGTTCGACCACATGATAGACTTAGGTATCATAGGACTGTCAAATAGCTCATGGGCATCTCCGTTGCACATGGTCCCTAAAAAGGACAGCAACGATTGGCGTCCAACTGGTGACTATCGGCGATTGAACGTGAAAACCACTCCCGATCGTTACTCGTTGCCTCACACTCATGGTTTGACAGCCACCTTGAAAGGCACAGCTGTCTTTTCGAAAATCAACTTGGTTAAAGCGTATAACCAAATCCCTATGACTGCTGACGACATTCCAGAACAGACCACGATCAAGCAATTACGCACGTTTAACGGCCTTGCAAGTTTCTATAGACGGTTCATACCGAATTGCGCGTTACTCATGAAACCGTTAATTGACCAGCTTCGTGGAAATGCGAAATCCATCAATCTGGACGAGACCACAAGAAAACTCTTCTCCACAATTAAGGAACTTATCGCTAAAGCAACAACGCTTGCTCATCAGGACACCGAAGCACCCATTAGTATCACAGTAGACGCACCTGACTCAGCAATCGGAGGAGTCTTACAACAATGAGTTAACAACTCCTGGCAACCTTTGGTATTTTTCTCTAGAGGGTTGCTAGACACCGAATCGAGGTACAGCACATTCGGTAGGGAACTCTGAGTTATGTATTGTGCTGCACAGCATTCTCAACACTACATCGAAGGCCGTGAATTCACCCTCTTTACTGACCACAAACCTCTTACTCTTATACGGGTTAGTAGAACGCTTTCACGCACAACTAAAGGCTTCACTATCAGCTGCAAACACTTCTCAGTGGACTGACGCTCTTCCACTCGTCTTACTAGGTATTCGCAATGCAGTGAAAGATGACATTGGATACACTGCGGCCCAACTGGTTTATGGAAAGACACTTCGACTTCTAAGAGAATTCGTGGATCCTTCGTTCTCTTCAATGAACATGGATCTAACCTCATACACGAACAGGCTTACAAACGCAGTGCGTTCAGTTAAATCTGTTTCCACTCTATCGCAATCAACTGATGTTTTCGTTCAAGCTGAGTTACAATATATTACACACGTTTTCGTTCGTCGAGACTCACATCGACGACCTCTCGAATCAACAAACGAAGGACCCTTCAAAGTTGTTCAACGCAAACCCAATTATTGTATAGTCGATAAGAACGGAACCAACGATAGCATCAGCCTTGATCGCCTCAAAGCAGCATATTTAGAAGGAAATCCTATTCACGTCGATCTTCCTTCGGTACAATCGCACGACACGACTCCTTCACTTATAACACCTCAAACGACAGTCAACACACACTATGATACGTTGGCAGTATCTGAAAATAAACTTAAGACAACGCGTTCTGGAAGAAGAGTAAGATTTCCAGAACATTTGAACGACTATTGTATGTAAGACACTAGTTAACATGTTGTCTCATCTCGATTTTCCATGGCATTATATATAATATAAAAAGTTTTTTGATATGCTCATATTTATATAGATTTATTATTTCGCCAATATATGTGTATTAAAATTCTTTTAGAAAACCTAAAAAAGCCGTTTCGTAAAAATCGCTTTTACGCTGTCACATGTACATGAGTTTATTTTCCTTTTTTCTCCCACTTTGTCTTAAAGTGCGTACGAGTTTATTTCGACATGCACTTACATATTCTTTTTTTCCTTTCCAGGAAGGCTGGAAAAGACGATAAAAAGAACGATGAGGTTTACGAGGAATCAAACTTTTCATTGTACGTTGTTTTTTTACAACATTGCAATTCATGATCCCTTATAGTAAGGAAAGACGACTAGACGCTGCTAAACCCCACAAGCTATCAGGAGAGTGTTTACCAACGACAAACTCGTTGGGTTTAAGCTTCTGACTGGCCACGTCTTAGGGTCATCACTACCCCACTAGGGGGAAAAGTGATATGTAGCGGTAAACAAATCCCCAAAATAAATAACTCTGTAAATCTTCGACATTGGACGCTGACCACATTAGTTTTAATCGACTCACCTAGATGAAGGCTCTCGGTTATGCATCCGCACCAGATCACGAGTGGAAACGTCGTGTTCAACAACCCTTGTAATCACTAGCCAGATTAGATCAGACGATCCTCAATATATTGATAGCCTATCAAATATATCTTCGAACCTTCTCGCTTCTGTCTTTTGATTTCACTTGGTAGGTATGACTCATATCAGAGGGTGTCGCTGGTTAAAGCATTGTCAAACTCTGAATGCCTGTGGCATCTTCACTCCATTGCCTTGTGGATTGGACCTTTGAGTTTTAGGTGTAGCATCCTAAGAAAATCACATATTTAAGTTTGGGCACCGGGGGGTAAGCCGTCTCACACACAAATCGAATGATGATTACTGTCGCGCAAATTATTTTCACTTCTGTTCGCATTCGGACAAATCATATTCACAAACATTCGTTTTTGTCGCTTTTGTGTTGAGTGACTTATCTACTCCTCGTTATCCTCATTTTGTTTACTTTATTTTTCAACTTATACAGAAAATTGCCCA